ACGTGGCCGGTTTCGTTTGAAATTTGAAAAATATTATATGCTTTTGAGAAAAAACAACAACCGCGAATGATCCATATCAAAGAACAGCAGCGTTATCTTTTTTTATGAACGATCAGAAAAGGAAAACATTTGCGTGGGACTACTCGCGTGACTACTCAAGGTCAACGAGGCAACAAAAGTAAACAGATACGATAAGTGATGGAATGGAATAGATGTCGGGCTCGATGGGATCCATGTAATGTTTTTATTTAATTTTTAATTCGTTTTATTTAATATACGATGATACAATTTTCAGGAATTGGGAAGCGGTCAATTGAAGGGCTGCCATGGGGAAAGTCAGATGATGGTGGTGGGGTTCGAACACACGTATCCCGAAATGGTAATTGGGTGACGTTACTACCGGGTCACCCTAAATTCGAATGACAAAATTTATCGAAAAAAACAACTATTGATCATACAACATAAATACTATGATCACGTGAACAAAGGCAGGATGATCGTTGTACTTGAATTCCCAGTTTCATTGTCTGTCAGACAGCATTCAGTCTGATCCCAAACACACAACTCCTAAAGAACTGTAAACGTAAGAAGGGCGAAGCCACTTGGTGGTCCGCGCGACCCGGTGATCAAATGGACGCTAAGTTGTCGTTTCTTTTCAATATAGTTCTGGTTTCCATAGTCAAACAGGTCGATTTATTCACACACCACGCTGATGAGTCCTATCAGGACTGTCTGCACAGTGCTTCCTGGCTTTTCGGTTCACGTATTCGTTGCTTTGATACAAACGTAGTTCAGTGTATCACTAAAAGGACAAAATCATCGGAACCAGTAAGTCAGAATCACTTAATCATCATAACCCGACAAGACTAGTGTGTCGTTGCATTACATGCGAAAGAGAAACAGTTCACAACTGCGTCGGGTGGAGCCCAGTCATAAATGGCTGAAAACCTCCAACGGGGTGTGGCAGACGCGAGAGTAGAGATACTTTAATTAGTTCGCTTTTCACAAACGACTAGATTACAGTTTTCAGCAACCCTAAAGCTCGTGTAATGCTACCAGGTACCGTTGTGGACTCACGCAAACTTAGATCAGTGCAAGTTTTGAAAATCATGAGATCCAGGTCCTGTAAATGAAACCCATCCACTGGACACGAGAAGAGCTTGTTTGTAGAAATTCTGCCAGTCAAATGGAAAAGTAATTGGAGAGTTAAATCCACTTCCTAGCTGCTTTAGTCATTTTGATTGAGACGGAGACTGATAAAAGGAGCACAACATGAGTCACAAATATTTACCCTGTTAGTCACCCCATCCCGCCCCAGTCCAATTACGTGACACTCTAGTTGTACATTCGCTTGACTGGTTCACTCTGTCTTGTTGACTGAGTTGAACAAAAAAAACTGGTTGTATGTGTATGTGCTTTTGACTTTGCGCGTGGGCTTTGTTTATTTGCTTTTCAACGGAAGGGGGAATAAATGAAAACGGTATTTACGACCACGAGTGGATTCAACGGAATTGCGAGT